ACACACACACACACACACGCACACGCACACACACGCACACACACACACACATACACACGCACACACGCGCGCGCGCACGCGCGCCCGCGCGTGCACACATTCTTCCTCCGACGCGAGATTCGGCCAGGCGTGGCACGCACAGGCCGGCTTCACCACTTTCCGTGGGCGCGCGCCCGCGCACGCAATCGCGCGTGCATTTTGCTCCTCGACGCGTCGGCGCTTCGCAACCCAGCAAGGTCCCTCCGCGCCAGCGCTGGAAAGAAGGGAGGATCACGCGCGCGCACACAAACACGCGCACTCTTTTCACCGTCCGAGAGGAGCCCTGTGGCAAGAGACGGAGAGACGACGACGAAGAGACGACACGACAGCGGCGCGCGGAGGGGGAAGGCAGAGAAGGAGGAGGGAGGAGGAAGAGGAGGAGGAGGTGAAGGAGGAGGAGGAGAAGGAGGAGGAGGGCGGAGGAGGAGCAGGAGGAGGGCGGAGGAGGAGGGCGGAGGAGGAGGAGGAGGAGGAGCGCACGTACCCTCTGAGGTGCGTCCCAGGAAGGTCACTCTAGTTGGGGGTAAACACTCCGCTGCCCTCCAGCCCTGGAGGAGATGAGGCACGAGGGACAGCAGGGGCAGGAGCAACACGACGAGGCGGCTGCCTGGCGGAAGCTCTCGCTGCCGCCCTGGTGTCGATGCACGTCAGGGCTGCATGCCTGGCGCGAAAAGACGTGGTGTAGGATCCTTGGAGGTGCGGGTTCGCAGCGAGCTCACACCTTAATTTATGATATATATGAAACGCAAGGACACAGAGATGATTACACCGACAGATATCGATGGGATCATACTCACAGGCTACATTATAGGCAGATGCTGGACCTAGCCCAAGACGGATTAGCGGGTCCTGTGGAATCACCGCTCGTGGGAGTGCGCACAGATGAGAGAGACGAGGACACCGAAGGTAGTGGCCAATCGAGTCGGGTGCGCGAACTTCGATCCCTAAGACCTCATCGCTGCACCCGAAACGGCAACCTTTGGGAGTCAAGATTCCGACACGCGAGGAAGTGATCCACGCCCCCGCGAGGGTCTTGAGGTGGGGCCAAACGAAAGAGGGGGGGCGGGAGGAAAGCACAGCTTTGAGAGCCGACCAGCGATTGGCAAGCTCCGCAGCATCAGGCAATTGCTGATCAAACATCCACTTCGGAAGACGACGAGCGAGAAGGTTAGGAATGGAGTCAGGGAGCAGAGCAGCGCAGAGAGACCGAAGGAGACGAGTCTGTCTGCTGGGGCCGGCCCTTTTCCGCCGACTCTCTCCGTCGGCCGCGGCAGGAGCATGCAGGGGCTCCGCAGCGCCGGCAATGGCACGACGGACGATTGGTCGAGGAATTCGCGACATCGTGACAAGGGACCGTTTCGCTCTCGTCTGGATCCCCGTCGGAAATTCATTCAGCGGCTCCTCGAGAGCCATAAAAAACCGGGCAATTGAAACACGACGCTTCCAAAACCTTGGCGACCACTCCTGGCGCACTAGGTCTATGATCGTACCGAAATCCTCCGCCGCCGTCCTCAACCGCTCACCGACGCTCCTCCATCCTCCGAATGTGGTGTGGCTTGCACGCCACGCGTTGGCTATGCATGAGAGCTCTACTGGCAATGGCGCGGCTGATGTCATCCACCGACCAAGTCCCAGGAGCTCGTCGATGCGAAATAAGTTGGGGGGGATGCGAAGCAGCTTGTGCAACGCCAGGCTTTCCTTGGAGAGGAGGTGGGGGTCAGGAGGAAAAAATTGGACAACATACGTGAGGCACGGAAGGACAACCATAAGGTAGAGACGGCAGGAGGCTTCAGAGGGTGCCCGAGACAGCGCTATCTCTCGGCACCTAGACCACCATTTCTGGCCAGGAGCTTTCCACTGGGCCCGAAGGTCGGCCTCAGGGCCGAGCCAAACCCCGAGGTACTTCGCAGCGCCCACGATTTTAAAATTCTCCCACCCTGGGGCAACATCAGCGAGGGCCTCTCTCGCGCTGCAAATCGTCAATTCATCGCACGGGGCCCAGAGAGGGACGAAACAACACTTACTGGGCTGGAGCTGGAGAGAGGCAAGCTGCTCGGCTTGCTCGAAAGTGCGGTGCATATGCTTAGCACTCTGGATGGTCATTGCGACCGCACCAATATCGTCGGCGCACCCCCCCGAGGGTCCCCATTTGCTCCGACGGAAACGCCATGGCCAGACAACGCACCCAGGGATCGAAACCAAGCGCCCAGAGACTCCCCGACAATGGGCACCCTTGGGGGACGCCTGACGTGATAGAAAAAAGTGGCTCTACATTTTCACCCACACGGGCGTGTCCGAGGGCGTCGTGCGCCAACCCGTCGAGCATGTTGCAATAGGAGGGGGGGAGACGAAACCGCTCAAGCGTGCGACGGAGGAAAAGTTGAGACATGCTCGGGAAGGCAGCACGCACATCGAAACTAAAGAACCCTGGGAGTCTTTCGGCCGCCGCTGGAAGGAGCCCCGCCCGCCGACATTCGGCGTCGAGAGCAACAATGTGCTCGCCAAACTTCCTTCCAGCAACGAACCCTTTCTGGACTCCATGGGTATCTTTAGCAGCGACACCAGCTAGATACAGGTTGACCGCAGCGGCCACTCCTTTGCTGTCCGAGCTCTTTAAAGCAAGGGGCCTCGTGCACTCAGGAGATCTCGTGCAGTCCACGAGGTCCGAGGGCTCGTCGCCTTTGGGCAGAAACGCCAGGAGGCAATCGTTGAAGTGCTCAGGCGGCCGCCGCCCGCTGGCCATCTCTTTCATCACTCTGTGGAGTACCATGGTCAACTGCGGATGGCCGCGCCATGCGCGAGCTGGGAGTCGATCAGGTCCAGGAGCTGAATCCTTCGCCCGTTTGAAGACGAAGCGGAGGTTGTCGAATGTGGGAATCTGCAGCAGCGTATTATCCATCTCGGGCATGCGGCGATTCAGGAAGGGGCCGATCAGGTCTTCACGCACAGGGGAAGCCGTGAAGGCGGGCTCCCAGTGCTTCTTCAGAGCCTCTACCATGGAACTGGGATCGCGCACCACCTCAACCTCCTCAGGGGCCAGCGCCCCCGACGCTGCCATGTTGGTCATCTGGCCCTGCCTCACACCAGCCAGTATCAGCATCCGCTTGGCGTTGTTCCACAGGAGCGCCCGCTGCACCATCACCGTCGCACTCCGCTTGGTAGTGCGTCCTGCACCCTGACGCTCCAGCGCGGCAGCTTCGCGGTCCAACATGGCAGCCTGCGCTTCCTTCACCCGGTTGTGGAACGTGTCGGGCTGCCTCAGCTTCACCTCGTGCCCCTCGATGTAGAGCTCCCTCTCGCCGACGATAGCGTGGTTGATCAGCTTCTTTGCCAGCCGCACGTCCTGGCGCCGCACCGCGCGAGCCGCAGCGCCATAGGCCAGTAAGGTCGCTCTTCTCGGGATATCACCTTCTCCTGTGACTTCCTTGGCCAAGAGTTCATTACGCGCAGTCTCCGCCGCCACCGTCATAAGTTCCTTGATCACCTCCCACTGGCGGTGCGGCTCCATCATCTCCTAGTTGCATCCGTCAATGCATCTCTCGAGAGCAGCACGGTACTCATCGCTCTTAAAGATGAATGATGGGATGCGCTGGTGGGCCGAAGCAGGCGATCGTCGAGTAGCCATCCGAAGTTTGATGATCGCATGGTCGCTCAGCTGCTTGGCATTCAGTGCGAAGGCGTCCTGGATCACCTCCACGTCCATCTCAGTCTCAACGTCGAAGGCCGATTCTATAGAAACAAAGAAACGATCAATAATTCTCAGGGTATTGTTATCAGCAGTGTAATGAGTCGGAATTGGAGAACAAATCTCGAGCATCGCCGCATCATTGAAGAGCTCACGCCAGAACGGCTCCGAACGGTTGGCACGGCCTGCCTCAGATCTCCTCGTTTGTTTCGGTTGTGGATACAGAATGGACTCCGTCGGTACATCAGTCATATTGAAGTCGCCGCCAACAATGAACGCGTGCTTCAACGGGTCGCGCTTCGACCAAGCAATACATTCCCTCCAGACCCGTTTGATCTTTGTACGACCCGCCTCCGAAATATCGTAGTTGTGAATATTCATGATGCGGAACTCACCCTTTGTCACAGGGTTCTCGATGCTCGTCATGATGGCTCTTCCATCGTCCAGGGCGCGGCGGCGGAGGCGAGGAAGTCCCGAAGCCCCAGCAGCCGCCACAGTGCGCTCGTCATACCATGGAATCAAGATCGCCACCCCGCCTGCACTGGAACGGTCCGTCCCCGAAAAATGTATCTTGTAGTTCACGTTAAACTGGTTCAGGTAGTTGGTCAATGAGGTTTCACAGCCATGGACCTCTTGAGTGATAACAACGTTACGCTTGCGAAGAAGGTCTGCCACAATTACAATTGCACGGCGACGCCGTGCGGGATCCCGACGCAACAGAAGACCGTGGGCGTTCCAGCAGACAATGCCGACGTGGTGCGAAGATGCCTGGAGTTCCCACGGTGCGAAACGCTGATTAGGAACACGTCCAATCTGATGTGTCCACTTCCTTCCACAGATCTTCGAATTAAGTGCTAACTGCTTGCCAATCAATGCCGAGCCGTTCTGCAGCCTGTGTGTCCCATGCCAACTTCGTAGCTTCCTCAGGACCTTGAACCTGCACCGATACAATCGCTGTCTGGCCGATGTAGACCAGTCCTTTCGGTCTCCGTGCCCAGCATTCCGAAGAACGCGTGCTAGCCACCGTCGAAGATGCCGCAGCTGTCCGTACCAGTCCCAACAGCTTCTTGGTCTGAACCTCCTTCCGAATGTCCTTGGCGTTCTTGTCGGGGTTGACGTACAGGGCGATCCGAGCTCCGCTGACAGCGAGCACCTCAAACTGGCGCCAGCCTTGGTTATTTGGTAACTTGAGGGACGTCTGCAGTGCATTGGCTCGAGCAATACCAGCGGCTCCTCCGACGCATTGCAGGATGAACTTCTTCTGCGGGGTGTCGCC